GATCACATGCAAAGTAGTAAGCAAGATGTCACTTGTGACATCATTGCTTACTACGTGTGAAATCTGTGAATGATCACAGGGGTCACATGGTACAAGGCTATTCCCAACAGCCTTGTACCATGTGAGAAGCTGTGACCAATCACAGCTCACTCAGTATTTCTCAATGGCTGCAAGAATGCAGACTGAGAGAAAGAGAAATGATTGCTTTTACATCCTACAGTCAGGTCCATAAATATTGGGACATCGACACAATTCTAACATTTTTGGCTCTATACACCACCACAATGGATTTGAAATGAAACGAACAAGATGTGCTTTAACTGCAGACTGTCAGCTTTAATTTGAGGATATTTACATCCAAATAAGGTGAACAGTGTAGGAATTACAACAGTTTGCATATGTACCTCCTACTTGTTAAGGGACCAAAAGTAATGGGACAGAATAATAATCATAATAAATCAAACTTTCACTTTTTAATACTTGGCTGCAAATCCTTTGCAGTCAATTACAGCCTGAAGTCTGGAACACATAGATATCACCAGACGCTGGTTTTCATCCCTGGTGATGCTCTGCCAGGCTTCTACTGCAACTGTCTTCAGTTCCTGCTTGTTCTTAAGGCATTTTCCCTTCAGTTTTGTCTTCAGCAAGTGAAATGCATGCTCAGTCGGATTCAGGTCAGGTGATTGACTTGGCCATTGCATAACATTCCACTTCTTTCCCTTAAAAAACTCTTTGGTTGCTTTTGCAGTATGCTTTGGGTCATTGTCCATCTGCACTGTGAAGCGGCGTCCAATGAGTTCTGAAGCATTTGACTGAATATGAGGAGATAATATTGCCCGAAACACTTCAGAATTCATCCTGCTGCTTTTGTCAGCAGTCACATCATCAATAAATACAAGAGAACCAGTTCCATTGGCAGCCATACATGCCCACGCCATGACACTACCACCACCATGCTTCACTGATGAGGTGGTATGCTTAGGATCATGAGCAGTTCCTTTCCTTCTCCATACTCTTCTCTTCCCATCACTCTGGTACAAGTTGATGTTGGTCTCATCTGTCCATAGGATGTTGTTTCAGAACTGTGAAGTCTTTTTTAGATGTCATTTGGCAAACTCTAATCTGGCCTTCCTGTTTTTGAGGCTCACCAATGGTTTACATCTTGTGGTGAACCCTCTGTATTCACTCTGGTGAAGTCTCCTCTTGATTGTTGACTTTGACACACATACACCTACCTCCTGGAGAGTGTTCTTGATCTGGCCAAGTGTTGTGAAGGGTGTTTTCTTCACCAGGGAAAGAATTCTTCGGTCATCCACCACAGTTGTTTTCCGTGGTCTTCCGGTCTTTTGGTGTTGCTGAACTCACCGGTGCATTCCTTCATTTTAAGAATGTTGCAAACAGTTGTTTTGGCCACGCCTAATGTTTTTGCTATCTCTCTGATGGGTTTGTTTTGTTTTTTTCAGCCTAATGATGGCTTGCTTCACTGATAGTGACAGCTCTTTGGATCTCATCTTGAGAGTTGACAGCAACAGATTCCAAATGCAAATAGCACACTTGAAATGAACTCTGGACCTTTTATCTGCTCATTGTAATTGGGATAATGAGGGAATAACACACACACTGGCCATGGAACAGCTAAAAAGCCAATTGTCCCATTACTTTTGGTCCCTTAACAAGTGGGAGGTACATATGCAAACTGTTGTAATTCCTACACCATTCACCTGATTTGGATGTAAATACCCTCAAATTAAAGCTGACAGTCTGCAGTTAAAGCACATCTTGTTTGTTTCATTTCAAATCCATTGTGGTGGTGTATAGAGCCAAAAATGTTAGAATTGTGTTGATGTCCCAATATTTATGGACCTGACTGTATATGGGTGTAAAAGCAATCAGTGTAAAAAAAAAAAAAAATCTTCATCACCCCCCAAAAGTAGTACAGTGTCACCATGGTGACACTGTACTGCTAGGGTGACAGTATGTAAAAAAAAAAATAATACAAAATAATATAAAAGAAAAATAAAAATGTAAAAAAAAGTTTAAAAATTATAATTTTTGTTTATAAACTAATTTGGCTTATTTTTTTTTTTTTTTACTAAAAAGATAATGGAATACATTTTGGCCAAGATTTATGATGAAATATTATTTATTTGCAAAATTTTATAAGAAAAACACTTTTTTTCTAAATTTTTGGACATTTTCATTTACATAGCAAAAAAAATAAAAACCACCAAAATAAAGTTTTATCTGTCTCAAAAAAATGGTAAAAAATTCATATGCGTACAGTGTTGCATGACCGCACAATTGTCATTCAAAGTGTGATAGCGCTGAAAGCTGAAAGTTGCCCTGGTCAGGAAGGGGTTAAAAATGGGGTTCACTTTAGAGGTGCCCATATTAATATAATATTTGTAGAACACCCATCAGACTAAAGCTGGCCATACACTAACGAAATACTTTCGAATTACATTCATCAAGTCATTGATTGTACTGATATTTTTTGTACATACTGTTGTGCACACAAATTTTTGAATGAACATATGTTTGGAAGTCTACCAGTGTATGGACAGCTTAATACTTATAGGAGACATGTTAGAAAACATTTTGTATCCTAAAAAAAAAAAATCTGGTGGCACAGGCATTTGCTATGCATTTCCCTCACTTTTTTCAATAAACTTAAATGTGAGTGGTCACGTGACACAAATGTTTGCTTTGTATCGAAACACTTGACGTCCCAGTTGCCACTTGGTGGTCAGATTGTGCCTGCACATCCAACCTCCCACAAATGTATATGGCTGCCTTAAAAATTCAGCTGCTGTATTTTGCATACTTTTGAAGCCTTTCCATTACATGCATAACAGAATGTAATGCACACTTTCCTTTGCTATCAGGTGTATCAAATATATTTCTTTTCTAGCTTCCATTATCAAGTTGAGAGCAATTATATGACACAATGCCAGAACTCAGGATGAAATTATCTGATACAATCTTTTCTGAGTAAAGTATCATTTTCTCATTTTTATTCTTCGTCTCTATACATGATTCCCACTCAGCAAATTGTAGATTAAAGAAATCTTGTGACTGCATAAATGCGTAGCTCCAGCCTAATACTGGTTTCTCTGTAGAAAGAGGCATCATGTGGATTTTATGAATATGTGAGAAGCATTTACTCTTTCTTGAATACTCTGTGTTTTTAATTATTTTTTTTTTATGCTCTTATGTTCTTTATAAATGATTTAACTTTTTACACATATGTTTCCATGGTTTGCTGGTGATTTAAAGACCAATTAATTTAATTAAGACCAGGGAACTAGTAAAACCAGTTCACTGTTATTGCTATCCAGAAAATCCTGCACTGTCACAAAAGTGATTTAGTTTACCTTAAAGTGTATCAAGAACATATAACCATGTTATGGTGAGAAGGATTTAAAGGTATCAAAAAGCCCTCCAACTGAACCAGTGTGTGTTGTACATTAGAGCCTTCTTAGAACAGAAGGTATTTACGTGTCTTATTCCATTGCATATCCCAAAAGTAAGAGTATTATTCCTTGTTTCAGAACAGGGAGCAGAGTCATATAAATCATTCCTTTATGCCCCAAATAGCCAACTGGACACCCAAAAGAGCTGGTTTAAACTATAGATATCTAATATTGTAGAGCTATTTATTCCAAAATGCCTATAGTTTTAGTAGCACTTTACCGAAAATGGCCAACAAGCTTAGGCATAAAGCAGAACTATTTATTTTTTTTAGTGCAAACACTTTGAAATTGCACATTTAAAATATAGCTAAGGGAGGAATTAATATCAGTATATGCAGAATGAGGATGGAATGGTGTATGTCAAATTAAAAAGGAAATTTAGTCAGAAAACTAGGTCCTGCTAGAACATTTCAGACTGGCATTGTGTAGATATAGCTACAGTTGTGCTCAAAAGTTTGCATACTCTGGCAGAAATTATAAAATGTTGGCATTTATAATAAAAATATGACTTATTATGCCAAAAACTGTCTTTTATTTAAGAACAGTGAAGTCATTTATCCTCACATAGTTGTTTGGCTCCTTTTAAATCACAATGACTCCTAGATTGTAAGCTCGAAAGAGCAGGGCCCTCGAACCCCTTGTGTATCACATTGTATTGGTATTGTTCTGTCACATGTTCTGTCCCCCTTTGTAATGTACAACGCTGAGCGAACTATTGGCGCTTTATAAATACTGTATTATAATAATAATAATAATAATAATAATAACAGAAAACACCCAAATGGCCCTGAAAATGAACACAAGGGGACACCAGCCTAAGTTCAGTATTTATTGGGTCCCAAAAAGACATATGCAGCAGCCGGTGTGTGTCCACTGGAGCCCAGGCACTGAAGATCTGATGTAAACGTGGGCCGTCAGCCGAGAACGCCGTAACCACCGTGGAACACACAGAAGACCGGGCCGGAGGCAATATCCAAAGGAAACACGAGGATGAGTCAGGGGAAGTTTTTGGGACCCAATAAATGCCCATATACAGTACTTACCCCAGTTGTGAGTAGTTATTTGGCTATTTTTAATAGGCTTGTCTTTTAATACTGCACTTAGGCTGGTGCCCCCTTGTGTTCCTTTTCATATTTCCACAGAGTCTTGTTTCACTCTATGCGGAGCTGCCGCTATATAGTGCTCATTCCATGGACTCTATGGACTTTTTAACATATGTTTGATGTTGCAACCTTATGTTACGGTGTTTATTGTCTTCTATCAGCGCCAATTACATGTGTAATGTCCCTGGCCTTGGTACAGACACACAAGATGACACACACAGGTTAAAATAGCAATTAAAGTTTAATTTCCCATATCTGTGGCTTTTTAACCACTTCCTGACCACCCTATAGCAGAACTACTGCTACAGGGCGGTAGGGCTGCACAAAATCATGTATACATATGTGATTTTGTATTTCCAGGTAGGAGGTGCTACCTGCGCTGCCATTGGTGGCTACAGCTGTCGATCACTGGGTCTCGGCTGGAGATTCCTGCTGGCACCTGGAGATCGCCGAGGAACACTGATGGGGGAGAGGTCTGAGTGTAAACAATACAGATCTCTCCCCTTTAAGCACCGGCCTGCTGATTTGTATTTCTCTGCATAGAAAAGCAATACAAAGCAGCATACTTACATAGTAAAACACACACAGACAACATAGTAAAAATGCACACAGCACACCGTTAACCATTTGATTGCCCCAGATGTTAACCCCTTCCTGCCCAGTGTCATTAGTACAGCACCAGTGCTTTTTATTAGCACTGATCACTGTATTAGTGTCACTGGGGATATCAGTGACAGTCAGTTCCCCCCCAGTGTCATTATGCCCGCTACAGTTCTGCAGTCCTGCTCTAAGTCGCTGATCGCCACCATTACTAGTATAAAAAGAGAAAAAATTCCATTAGATATACCGCCATTTTTAGACGCTATAACTTTCACGTAAACCAATTAATTTACATGTATTGGGATTGTTTTTATCAAAGACATGTAGCCGAATATATTTTGACCTAAATTTATGATTAAATTTGATTTTTTAATTTTTTTTTTACTGGAAATGTTTTATAGCAAAAAAGTAAAAAATATTGTTTTTTTTCAAAATTGTGTTTTTTATTTTTTGCGTTGAAAACAAAAAAAATACTGAGTCAAGCAAATATGACCAAAAGAAAGCTCCATTTGTGGGGAAAAAAGAACTTAAATTTAATTTGGGTGTAGCGTTGCATGACCACACAATTGTCAGTTAAAGTAATGCAGTGCCGTATCACAAAAAAAGGGGGGTAAATCCTCTGGAGGGCAAGTGGTTAAATTGCAATTAGTGTCTGTGTTTAAATAGTCAGTGAGTTGATTAGCTTTCATGTGGATGCACTGAGCAAGCTAGATACCAAGCCATGGGGAGCAGAAGAGGACTGTCAAAAGACCTGCGTAACAATGTAATGGAATTTTATAAAGATGTAAAAGGATATAAAAAGATATCCATAGCCTCGCATATATGCCCAGTCAGTACTGTTCAATCACTTATTAAGGATAAGTTCACCTTTTATAACAAGTTACACCCATACTCAGGGTGTAACATGAATAGACCGACCCCCGCCGATCCGCCACTCCCCCTCTTTGACAGCTGCAGGGGATCTTCTCCTCCCAAAAGCTGTTAGAATTTAAAAAATGGAGCCAAGTCACATAGTCCTCTTTGAATGAGAAACTACAACTCCCAACAGCCTTAGCGGCTGTCGGCTTGTAGGTCTCAATGAACTACCACGGCGCTGTGGAGCGCCGTGATAGTTAATTGATTCTTCCTGTCAGTATACCTGCTTGCATGTACATTCCATATGGGAAGCAGATATACTAACAGTTCTGCAGAAGACCTACATGACACTAGCGATCTGATGATCGCTGGTGCAATGCTTTACAGGCTTCTACAACAAAAAAGAATAAATTCACATTTTTACCTACAAAAAATGTGCATTTATTATTTTTTAGCAAAAGGTGAACTTATCCATTAAATAAATAAATAAATAATTGGCTTCATATGATCACTATCCTTAAATAAAAGACAGTTTTTTGCATGATCGGTCATATTTTCAATATAAATGTCAAATTTCTACAATTTCTGCCAGGGTATGCCAACTTTTGAACACAACTGTATGTAAATTATTAAAAATAGGTATAAATAAAGGTGCAGCGCTTATATGATCAGCAATATAAATCATGCAATAAAATAGTCCAATATTGGAAATTGAAGTGTGTCAAGTAAGCAATCACTCATTAAAGTGAAAAATCATGCATAAAGTGCAAACAAAAGTCCACTTAAACGGTCAGATGTGAAGGTCTAATGGTGAGATATCAAATACAGGAGTGATTCCTTCCCAAATCTTCTGGTGATAATCAAATAATAAATTGCGCACTCACCAGATGCGCAATAATATTGCGCATTTGAAAAAACAATATCTCAGAAGGTCAACTGTAGCGTCTTAAAGGAGCCTTTATGGCCTGGTATGGATTCCTCACTGGAGAGCCTGTGGATGACAGCAGCTTCTCTCTCCTTCCCAAAGAACTCTGCGGATGGTTGGACTCATCAAGAGTCCAAAAAAGGAGGAGGCCACATAGCGTGATACTGCTTCAAATTTTAATAATCCAGTCATGGGTACAATATAAGGCAAAACAAAAGCAAAAAGACACTGACCATGTGTATAGGCAAGATGGCTGCCAGACCAACACAGGGCCTCGGCAGCTTGACATCACATCGTTGTAGCTCCTCCCTGATGCGTTTCGTGCTACCGCACATACTCATAGGGGTATGCTATCCACGCCTGACGTCCGTCTAGTTCTATAAATAATGAAAAATGGCGCGTGGATGATCGTGCCTGCCATGTTCGCGGCTATTGCGCGGAACGTGGTTCCATATTCACAAATATCCCTGCGCATGCGCGATATCTGGGCGCCATTTTGTTGTGGATTTTTGGTGCTAAGTTGGATATAATCTAATAACGATGCGCGTGCATCTCCGTGCCATTGTTATGGTAGATTCCGAATAAATACAATGATCACCATCTCAAAGAGAATGAAAACAGAGTGCACAAACAGCTACTCCGATAGTTTTATAACAGCAACATAATGTTGCTTAAAACAATGGGCAGGAAAATTCTACAATTCCTTAAATAAATATGCACAAAAACTGTAGCATCTGCGCATGTGCAGTGGGAATAACCAATATAAATTGCACTTTGACAGAAACAATTAAGTCAGTTATTATGGCACATAAATATCCAACTTATCTAGATGTTCATAAATACAGTCAGACCCATAGAGTAATTAACTCCTCAAAAGACTAGGGTGATCAGTGGTGCATTTAAGTTTTGTGCTGCCCTAGGCAACACAAAAATTGGCACCCCTTACCCCTGCAGAAAGAGCCTGACATTGACCAAGAACACCCCTGTCCTCCACCCGAGCCTTCCACTACCACTGCCCCCCATACACCAGCCACCATCCCCCATGGTGAGAGAGAGAAATACACTCACCTTCACAGCTCTGGACATCCCCAGGAATGAGAGTCGGGCTGTGCATACACCGTCATGAAACCCACAGCATCTCTCGGAACCCACCAGGTCCCCATGCCACGCGTGTCCCTTCTTCCATCCCTTCTTCCAAAGGGCAGTGCTGCCCCCCTGAAAAATGCCGCCCTAGGCAAATGCCTTGTTTGCCTTGTGGTAAATACACCCCTGAGGGTGATCATTCTACAGTTAGCAGCAAAAAACAATTATTCATCAATTATAATTAAAATTGTGAAAATTGTGTTAAAATATATAATTAAAAACACAGGGTCAGTAAAAATCAAATATAACTGTATAAAATCAAATTAACTACATATGGACTTCAATAAAAACCACATAAAAGTCAAACAAAATAAAATCAACAATAAGATAATATTAAACATAAATACATGAAGTATGGGACAAAGGGATTAAAATATCAACATCACGTAGATTAGAATAGCTAAAACCAATATATAGATATATTAGAATAAATTAATGTATATTACGATTAATAATACTAGATTAAAAATAGAAATTACATTAAAAGTAAAAATAAGTAAAAATAGAGTTTGCAAATGACAAGGTGGTGTCAAGCACATTGGGCCCAATCAAAGACAGAAAAGAGCCAATATGTGAATAATAAATTAACTATTGTCTATAAAGCAATTTATGTCAAATTCAATATTAAGTCCAGTGGGGTGGGAAGTATCAAGTTCGAAAATCCACTTGGACTCAAGTTGTGACACCGCCCTTTTCTTATTAGTGCCCCTCCAGTGTGCTTTGACTATATCTATGCCTACGAATTGCAATGAAGAGGGGTCCCTATTGTGGCACAACCGGTAGTGCTTGGAAAGAGAGTGTTCCTTATAATCTTTTTTAATATTAAGCACATGTTCTCTCAAGCGATCTCTTAGATCTCTTGTGGTCCTACCCACATACTGTTTCCTGCACAAACATTGTAGTAAATATACAACATGTGTACTGTTGCATGAGATAAACCTGTCCATTGTGTAAGTCCTCCAGGTTGTTGAAGAGGTAAAGTTGTCCACCTTTCTTTTTCTTACCCCATTACACAGACAAATTACACACTTGTTACAAGGGAAGAAGCCTTTCATTTCTTCAAAGAACAATGTATTTGTAGGGGGGATTAACCACATTGGGGGCAATTGTGTTTCTCAGGGGCATAGTTTTCCTAAATATGATTTCAGGTTTATCCGGTAGAAATTCATTCAAAACTGGATCGGCTTTCAAGATTCTCCAGTTATTATGAAAAATCTTGGAGATCGATTTATGTTGAATAGAGAAGTTTGTTATGAAGGGCATATTTTTCAATTTTTATTCTTCGTCACATTTCCCAGTATATCATTGTGGTCTATTCTTCATAGCCTCTCCAGATAATAGCTATTAATGATTTCTTGTAAGTTCCTAGAGGGTTCTTAGGTAGAGGGACATATGTGTCCTTATCACTAAGAATATTTAGTACCTCATTCATATAATATGTCTTATCCAAAATTACCACGCCTCTCCCTTTATCCTCTGGGCGAATTACTAGGTCCTTTCTCTTTAAGAGGGAATTCATAGCTTTTTTAGCATTATTCTGGTCAATAACCTTTTTCACATTCATAGCTTTAAGATCATGTATTACTGTGTTTTTGAAGGCATTGATGTATGCCTGGGACTGAGGGTGCGGGTTAAACAGGGATGCATTTTTTAGATTAGAATTAATGGTCCCATTTGTTGAGGTAGTATATGTGATAGGGTTGTTAAGGAAATACTTATTGAGAGAGATTTGTCTGACGAATCTATGCATGTCTATATAGGTTTGAAATTTATTCAAAAAAGTTTTTGGGGCAAATTTTAACCCCTTATCCAATAATTTAAGTTCATCAGGTGACAATTCCACATTGTTGAGATTGTAGATACCTTTTACCCTTTATAGTCGTCCCTTTTTTGGGTTTGTTAACCCTCTTACCTCCCCTCTTTCCTCTCCTTGAGTGCTTCTCTTTCGTGCTTGGCCACTTCCTAAAAAAATGGGCTGGACTCCTATTTATGATTCTGATCATTATCAGGACACACATCACAATGTAAATAACACACCAGCCCATTTTTTAGGAAGTGGCCGAGCGCGAAAGAGAAGCACTCAAGGAGAGGAAAGAGGGGAGGTAAGAGGGTTAACAAACCCGAAAAAGAGACGACTATAAAGGGTATCTACAATCTCAGCGATGCAGAATTGTCACCTGATGAACTTAAATTTCTGGATAAGGGGTTAATATTTGCCCCAAAAACTTCTTTGAATAAATTTCAAACCTATATAGACGTGCATAGATAATCTCTCTCAAGAAGTATTTCCTTAACAACCCTATCACATATACTACCTCAGCAAATGGGACCATTAATTCTAATCTAAAAAATGCATCCTGGTTTAACCTGCCCCCTCAATCCCAGGCATACATTAATGACTTCAAAAATACAGTAATACATGATCTTAAAGCTATGAATGTGAAGAAGGTTATTGACCAGAATAACACTAAAAAAAGCTAAGAATTCCCTCTTAAAGAGAAAGGACCTAGTAATTCGCCTAGCGGATAAAGGGGGAGGCGTGGTAATTTTGGATAAGACATATTATATGAATGAGGTACTAAATATCCTTAGTGATAAGGACACATATGTCCCTCTACCTAAGGACCCTCTAGGAACTTACAAGAAATCATTAAAAGCTATTATCCGTAGAGGCTATGAAGATAAAATTATTACTAAGAAAGAGACTTTTTATGCCCCTCTGCACCTAGGTTGCCGGTACTGTACATATTACCCAAGATACATAAGAATTCCACTAATCCCCCTGGCTGACCTATTATCAGTGGAATTGGTTCCCTTTGTTCTTGAGCTGGAGAATATATAGACCACTTTCTTCAACCTTTTGGTAACAAATACTCCAGCATATTTGAGGGATACCAAGCATGTCCTCCAAGATATAAAAGATCTAGATATTGAACCCTCAACCTTTCTAGTTACAGCTGATGTGGCATAGTTACACACAAATATTACCCACTCTGATGGAATGGAAGCTGTGCAATTTTATTTAGATTATTTTAAGAATGACATTTTTACAAAAGGATTTTATACTCAAGCTTTTGAAGTTTGCAATGACAAGGAACTATTTTTGGTTTAACTGTAATTAATACTTACAAACAAACGGTGTTGCAATGGGAGCGAAATTCGCTTCCAGCCTGGCCAGTTTGTTTATGGCCAGATGGGAAGAGGATGTCATATATGCCCGAGAATGGTCTGAAATTTTCTTTTACAGACGTTATATTGATGACATCCTCTTAATTTAGAAAGGTGAAGAACAGGCATTAATAAATTTCTTTAATACACTTAACAATACTTTGAATATCAAACTCACCTTCGATTACAGCACCACAAGTAGTATACATTTTTTAGATTTGACATTGATAAATCATGAAGGAAAAATTATAACAGAATCCTATTTTAAGCAAACGGATCATAACAGTTATATTCCCATAGTTCCCATCATCCAGCCTGGCTTACAAATATCCCTAAGGGACAATTTCTCCGGATTAGAAGGAATTGTACTAACATTAACACCTATTATTCCCAGGCAGATATCCACGGGCTATCCAGTGAGGAATCCATACCAGGCCATAGAGGCTCCTTTAAGATGCTACAGTTGACCTTCTGAGATATTGTTTCCTCAAATGCGCAATATTATTGCGCATCTGGTGAGTGCGCAATTTATTATTTGATTATCACCAGAAGATTTGGGAAGGAATCACTCCTGTATTTGATATCTCACCATTAGACCTTCACATCTGACCGTTTAAGTGGACTTTTGTTTGCACTTTATGCATGATTTTTCACTTTAATGAGTGATTGCTTACTTGACACATTTCAATTTCCAATATTGGACATTTTATTGCATGATTTATATTGCTGATCATATAAGCGCTGCACCTTTATTTAAACTTTGTTCTTGAGAGGTTGTTTTGGTACCTTTTTGGTGTCCCAGCTGCTCTACAATATAGCACTCACTTTTTTTCCTTTTCTGAATATTAAAAATAGGTGCCTATACTTTTTAAAATCCAGTAATACATGGTATGCTCAGTTACTCTCTATTTTTTCAGCGCTGTGCCTAAAGATTTACTGCTGCTCAAGGGTTTTTTTTCAGCAAAATGGCAGCCTCCAGCAAGAAGAAACAAGAACAATGCTGGAGGCAATTTACAGCACACATTCATTTTGGTAGCATAACTATTAACTAGTAGCCGACCGCAGATAGCCGAATGACGGCTGCACTGCGGCCGGCCAGTTCTGAGTGGACGTCATATGACGTCCTCCCAGAACGCGCTCTCCTGCGCGCCCCAGGGGCGCGCACCCGGCGATCTCCGTGATCGCTGTGTCCTACGGACACAGCTGATCACGTGATGTGGTAAAAGGCCAGTCACAGCGGCCTTTTACCACGTGATCAGCGGTGTCCAATGACACGCTGATCAGAGGGAAATGCAAGTGCCGGTTCTCGGCTGCACTTTCCTCACGCTGTCAGATCGTGAGGAAAGTACTGCCGAGAACCGGCAGTTGTCAGAGCGGGGATCAGCACCGATCATCAGGGCACTGATGATCAGTGCCCTGATGATCGGTGCCCAGCAGTGCCACCCGCAAGTTCCGCCCACCTGTGCCCAGCAGTGCGCCCACTAGCTCCGCCCACCTGTGCCCAGCAGATCACCCACCTGTGCCCAGCAGTGCACCCACCTGTGCCCAGCAGTGCACCCACCTGTGCCACTCTGCAGTGTCACACACCTGTGCCCAGAAGTGCCACCTACCTGTGCCCAGCAGTGCCACCCACCTGTGCCCACCCACCTGTGCCCACCAGTGCCACCCACCTGTGCCCACCCACCAGTGCTGCCCACCAGTGCCACCCACCAGTGCAGCCCAGCAGTGCTGCCAGTCAGTGCCACCAGTCAGTGCCCAGCGGTTGTGCCAGTCAGTGCTGCCAGTCAGTGCCCAGCAGTGATGCCAGTCAGTGCCATCTATCAGTACCCATCATCAGTGTCACCTATCAGTGTCACCTATCAGTGCCGCCCTATCCGTGACACCTCATTAGTGCTGCATATCAGTGCCGCCTATCCGTGCCACCTCATTAGTACTGCCTATCAGTGCCCTTTAGTGCTGCCTATCAGTGCCCATCAGTGCCGCCTATCAGTGCCCATCAGTGCTGCCTCATCAACGCACATCAGTGAAGGAGAAAAAAATTACCTGTTTGAAAAATTTTTTAATAGAAACAAAGAAACTTTTTTTTTTCTTTCAATATTTAGCAATTTTTTTATTTTTATAGCGCAAAAAGTAAAGTGCCCAGTGGCATTATACCACCAAAGCGCCCAGTGGCGATTAAATACCACCAAAAGAAAGCTCTATTTGTGAGAAAAAAATGATCAAAATTTCATATGGGTACAATGTTGCATGACCGCGCAATTGTCAATCAAAGTGCGGCAGCGCTGAAAGCTGAAAATTGGCCTGGTAAATAAGGGGGTATAAGTGCCTGGTAGGCAATGGTTATTGTGGAATGTATGTTCTTTGCTAAGATAATTATTTTTACAAAGTTGTTTTTACCAAAGTTCCTCTTTAATAAACCAGTAGGTTTATTTAAAAAAAAGGGCACAACACATGTGCCAAATCAAGTAATTTGACTAGCTGGACTGGGTGTTATCTTGAATTGACCTCTGATAATTATTCTGTATGACCTACAGTTATCTACTATGTTCATGCTGCTTGTATTGTTGGAAGCTGTAACTGTTTGTATTTTGGAGTTTTGATTGCTGTACATTACCATGTCAGACTATTTCTTTCCTGTCATGCCACGTGTTACGTAATTCCTCTAATAAAGCAATCCTTTCTGGTAAAAAAAAAAAAAAAAGTTTGATTAGTGTGCCAATTGATGTGCCGTCTTTTGCAGTAAATTAACAAAAGTCATATACATCATTCCTCTAATAGAAAGCCTTCTACACAGTATACCAGATGCAAATTGGTGTATGGAAATTAAAAGATGAGAGTTTAATCTAATAACGAGAGAGAGATACTTGTAAAGGTGTACTGTTTTGTCTCAGAGTTTAATATTGTCAGATGTTCACGATTTTAATTTAAAAAAAACAAATGAAATAAATATTGAATAAAGAAGCTCAATCTTAATGTTCAAAATGAAAGTTAAAAGGATGTAAATGTTGTATGTATTAAAATAGGCTTATATAATTAGGATAATTTAGGGGTAAAAGTGAAAGAAAAAGAGCTAAAGCAGAACTTAAAGCGGAGCTCCAGTCATGTTTGTAAAAAACTGTAGCTGCTGAATTTTAATAAACATCCACTCACCTGTCCTATGATCCCTTGCTGTGCTCTGCCCAGTGGTTTTCACTTTGTCTCTCTCCCCAGAGCCAACATCTTTACTATAGATGCCCAGCTGTGACAGCTTGAGGCTTCACAGCCAGATGCCCACTGTGAATGGTCCTGCAGGCTTCTAATTCAGGGCAAGATCAAGAGTTAATGGCAACAGAGTCTGGCAGCAACACGGCAACAGGCTAACCGCTTCTTAACCGCCCTTTATCAGAAATACTGCTACAGGGTGACACGGATGCGCAAAATCACATCTATATATATATATATATATATATATATATATACACACGTGATTTTGCATTTCCAGGTAGGGGGCGCGTGCCCTACCCGTGCCGCCATTCGCACAGTACAGCCATCCAAACCAGTGTGCTTACAGTGAAGCACACAGACACTGCCCCATAGTAAAACACACCCAGCACACAGTTAACCCTTTGATCGCCCCTCATGTTAACCCCTTCCTTCCCAGTGCCTTTAGTACAGTGTCAATGCTTTTTTTTTAGCACTGATCACTGTATTGGTGTCACTGGTGATGTCAGTGACACCAAGTCAGTTCCCCCCAGTGTCAGAATGTTCATAGCAGTCCCACAGTCCTGCTATAAGCTGCTGATCACCGCCATTACTAGTAAAAAACAAAAATCCCAGTATATATACCACCATTTGTAAATGCTATAACTTTTATGTAAACCAATTAATTTACACATATTGGGATTTTTTTTTTTAGCAAAGACATGTAGCAGAAAACATTTTGGCCTAAGTTTATGATGAAATTGATTTTTAAAATTTTTTTACTGGATATGTTTAATAGCAAAAAGTCACAAATATTGTTTTTTTCTTAAAATAGTCGGTCTTTTTTTATTATAGAGCAACAAATAAAAAACACATAGGCGATCAAATACCACCAAAAGAAAGCTCAATTCTTTGCATGATCGCGCAATTGTAAGTTAAAATAAAGCAGCGCCGTAACGCAAAAAATGGCCAGGTCAGGAAGGGGGGTGAATCCTCAGGAGGGCAAGTGGCAGGGGAAGCCAAAACAATGAAGCATAGCAGAAGTGGATCATTGGGAATCACAGGGGTGGAGCCTATGTTGACATCATCATGATGGTGGACTGAGCAGTGGCTAGGTTGTTTCGTTTTGCTTGTTTACTTTGCTGCTTAATGTGAGTTGCACTACTTCTTGTTGCTAATAAAATGTAAAAATGGTTTGCTATTTGTTTTTTTGTTTTTTTTTATATTCTGACACATGCAGAGTGAAGGTATTGGCTGCTGTTATATACCTTTGATCTCTGCTTGTGTGCCATGTGATTTACGATCATCCCAAGGCATTTACATTGTGTGTGAACTGACCTCTGAAGCTTTGAGGTCTGTTCATCTGGTAAGAGGCTGTACTTTTATATATTGGTGATGGAGTCACAAAGGATTTTGAAGAAGCTTTCATATCACTGGATCACAATTATATTGGATGTGCTGGACTTTCATACACATTGTTTGCACTTAAGGGTGTTATGTATGTTTTATTCATTTAGAGGTATAGCTCAACAATTTTTCCTTTTGGATATGTTACATGGTTGTAGCTATGTGTTTTTGAGTGCTGCTGTGCATTTATTTTTTCACAGTTATTTAATATTTTTTGAGCGCAGTTTTTTCCTTGTTTCCTTTTCATTCTGGCCAAAGGCTAGATTGATGTGCCCCTGGTCCTGCAGCCTATTGAAACACTCACATCACATTTCCCAGAAAGCTGCAGGACTAGGCACACAGAGCGGCCAAAGGTCGGATCTGGCACATCATTGGTAGATGACTATCTAAAACTGGAAGAGGCAGCCAGCTGTATAGGACTAAAATGGTGGCACGAGACTGGGGCTTTGTCACCTGAACAGCAGATCCCAGTGGGACAATGTTGGATTCGCTGTGCGGGTATGTACAGTATGTTAAAGAGAACCCAGCAATACAGGTAAAAGTTTAAATAAAACAAAACATGGGGAAGTTAAGTAGTGCTTTAAGTATATGTGTGTGCACGTATGTTTTATATATATATATATATATATATATATATATATATATATATATATATACTCAGTTTTTTTCAGATAACTGGAAATTTGAGTTGTGTGGCAACCATTCAGATTTTTCCTCACACCTGCTATCCTTCTCTTACAATGCCCATAATTTTTATCTTTAACCTTCATGTGATCAATATTGTAAATTTGTGACACATATGACAAGTCTTCAACATTTTATACCAACTATATCATGTATTTTGCCCACATATAATACATAAACATGGATGTCATCACTCAGGGAAAAAATTATATTTTCTTGTTAATTTTTGTCTCACAAAAACACATTTGGGCTCAAGACAGTTATTTATTTATTTTTACTACTTTGTGCACACAAAAATAAATATCTGTTATGTGTTTACATATACCAAATTAACAATCTACTTACACTAGCTTAATTAATTTGGCACCAGTTGCATAGAAATAGACTAATTCTAGAAAATAGGGATGGTTTCCCAGCTGTTGTGCAGACAAAATTCAGGACCTTGGATTCTCAATGATCTCTTGGTTTTAGCTCTTCTGGCTAAACAGCTCAGAGTCATAGCCTTTATACACCATGCTGTTCGTATGTCATTATGCTTCCTTTATTTCCATAAGGGGCAGGTCACATAGCAGTGTAACACAGATTAATAAGTGTGTATGCATGCACAATTTTAGCTTTCAGTTTGAGAACGAATGCATTAACTCTTTCCCTGCCCCTGATGTAAGGGGTATGGTGGAACAGAATTGCGTGCAGCTGACTACCTCAGTATCCCTTAGTTTGTCTGAATTCTCATTTCTGCTATAAACTTGTGGTCACTGAAGAAATATATCCCTAACTCTGAATAAATGATTGCAAGTTTGCAACTATTCAAAAAAGAGATGAAAGCCACTCCAGTGCTACCATAACGCGACAAAAAATTCCTTTACCCTCCCTAACTGAGTCAATTTATCCTTCATTTGTACTATCTAAAAATCAGGCAGAGCAGTGTCATAAACCAGGTCACTTACCAATAAAAGACAAGCTATGTAAAAAAAGAGACAGAATACTTACCTTTCCAGTGTTCCAGGTCTTAAAACACTGCTACTTCTCTGCTCTCTGGGTGTGTGAATGCGCGCTCCTTCAGCCAGAAGCAGTAGTTTCTCCAACCAACCTGTATGTCACTATAGGATAGAGAAACCACTGAGAGTGGTGAGGGAGCAGATAACTGACCCATCTGACTGGTCGAATACCTGCATTAGCTAAACAATATTAAAGCTGTGATAACAATAGTAAAAATAGGGGATGTGCACACCAGAGAGATTAACCACATCCACTGATAAGCTAACAAATAATTCAGCTACAGTCCTCACATCCTGGTTACACCCCTTTCACCCTGATTGGTCTTAGTCATAAAGGTAAGTGACCCTGTTGTAATGGGGCCACTTTAAATAAGTTCTCATCCTGAAACAGTATGTACAGTGGGGCAAAAAAGTATTTAGTCAGCCACCAATTGTGCAAGTTCTCCCACTTAAAAAGATGAGAGAGGCCTGTAATTGACATCATAGGTAGACCTCAACTATGAGAGACAAAATGAGACACAAAATGCAGACAATCACATTGGCTGATTTGGAAAGAATTTATTTGTGATCAATGTTCTTGTGATCATTTTGACCCCACGGGGTGAGATCTTGCGTGGAGCCCCAGATCGAGGGAGATTATCAGTGGTCTTGTATGTCTTCCATTTTCTAATTATTGCTCCCACAGTTGATTTGTTCACACCAAGCTGCTTTCCTATTGCAGATTCAGTCTTCCCAGCCTGGTGCAGGTCTACAATTTTGTTTCTGGTGTCCTTCAACAGCTCTTTGGTCTTCACCATAGTGGAGTTTGGAGTGTGACTGTTTGAGGTTGTGAACAGGTGTCTTTTATACTGATAACAAGTTCAAACAGGTGCCATTGATACAGGTAATGAGTGCAGGACAGAAGAGCCTCTTAAAGAAGAAAGTACAAGTCTGTGAGAGCCAGAAATCTTGCTTGTTTGTAGGTGACCAAATACTTATTTTCCACCATAATTTGAAAATAAATTCTTTCCCAATCAGCCAATGTGATTGTCTGGATTTTTTTTCCTCATTTTGTCTCTCATAGTTGAGATCTACCTATGATGTCAATTACAGGCCTCTCTCATCTTTTTAAGTGGGAGAACTTGCACAATTGGTGGCTGACTAAATACTTTTTTGCCCCACTGTAGGTCAGTAGGTCAAAGTATATCTAAAGAGAATTTTGTTTTTCATTTTGTATAGAGTAGGGGGAAGTTTAAATGTGCTGTTTATTTTTTTGCCATCTGTGTCCCATTAGGGAGATTTTCCTTCACTTCTTGTCCTGTAGACTCAACAGGAAGTATGATAATATCTTTCCAATGTGAGGGAATTCTCCTCTTGGACAGCTGTTGTGGAAAAAATAGAGGGGAGGATTTTCCCTGTATTCTAGTTTTGGTGGCAAACATAAAATGTTCAATTTTCCCTCACTTTCATTCCTTAGGACATTGGTGATCAGAACCATTAGAAAGCATGGATTGCCCTAACTGGAACACATACAGCAATAAAAATCTGAGAGGTTCTAACATTTCATCACCACCTATCAAATTCCCCAAAATGTTTTAGCAATAGGAGTTCTTTAATGATGACCTAATGTGTGAATGCTTTCTCAGGTCCCTTAATCAGAAAGAACTGGAGCTAAAGATAGCTAGGCAACAAAATGGCAGCATCTTTATTTCTTTCAGGAACATTTTTTGGAATCATGACAAACAGGATTTGCTACAACATTTATAGTAGAAGATATTGTTGTTTGCATTGTAGAAACTTTCATTGCCTATGTTAACCTTTCTCAAGCTATATACTGTACTTACCATAGATGAACCCTTGAAATAATTTTCAGGGTTTTGTGAACACCTAATAATTACTGTATTTACATTATTGTGAAAATTTAGTTGAGCTTCTCTATATCACAAATTATTTTCAGTAGTAGTATTGAACAGAAACAAATAACAATAATTGCCAGAAAATAGAGGTAGACAATGGAAATTGTGATGTTTCCATAGATTCCTTAGACTGGTCATCAGTAGTGATGCGTGAATTGGGAAAAGTTTGCTGCACATTTACTTGCACCCAATGGGAAGTTCTCAAATAATGAATCTAGGGCCAAACCTCAGTGATGTCTATATGAATAGAATCTTTTTTTTCTGGCTTTTTGTAATTATTTGACCTCAGGGGCTGAGAAGAACTTTTTAAAAAAGTGCAAAGGTTATAAAGCATCATAATATGTAGAGTTTATGTTGCTTATTTGTAATTCTACTATAAATACTTCTACTGTTTTGTGATAAGGAAGGAAAGAGAGGCACCTTCTAAGTCAGTGGTGGGCAACCTTTTTTTTCAACTGAGCCAAATCTCGCCAAAACCACGATTGAAATTTATTTTGAGAGCCACATTTTTAAAACTGAAAATACATCCCCCATATAGTAATTCATCCCCCATAGTAATTCATCCCCCATATAGTAATTCATTCCCCATATAGTAATTCATTCCCCATATAGTAAT